AAAATTTTTTATTTCTAATTTTTCTTTTTCAAATATTTGACTATTCGATACAAAAATATTTTCAACTTCAAACGCTCATTTTTTATTTTGTTTATCAAAGAATCAAGTTTTTTATTCTGTATGTTAACGAATTTTTAAACGAAAGTACAAAAGTTTTCATTTTTCAGATTTGAAAAATTATTCATTCTATTATAGTTTATTTAATCTTTCCACAAATCTCCTTTTTATGAAATATATTCAACTTAATTGAAAAATAATTAAACACACTCCTACACACTTCAAGAATTAAATCACTTAACTGCATAAATATCAAGTAATTTTGTTAAGTATTTTGTTACTTTGTGCGAAATTTTACCAAAAAAATATATGGTTTATAGGTAATTCGTTTGGTACGTTTCAATTTCTTTCCAAAGTCAAAGAAAAAAGAGCTTGCAGAGAATCAAATATTTCCTTGTCTGTTGCGTATGAATTGATTGACCGCACGTGGATAGAAATAAATCGATGTTTTTAATCTTGTAGAATCACTGCATTACAAAATTAGATTGCTGCGCATCAAATGAATTTCGAAACATAGAAAGTCCACGTACATTTGATTACGTAAAAGTACCACAAGATCTGTATACATCAATTGAAGTTTAATGTCCAATGAAAACAAATGCAAATTAAAAAACTTGTCAAATTTGAAATTATAGATTTGGTGTTAAAAATGAAGAAATAAAAAGGTGAAGTCGTAGTGAGCCACAGTGACTTAAAGTAGAAATAACCTGAATGTGAACGTATTTTCTCAAACAACGTTAATCTTTCCAACTCTTAATTGTCACGTTGTGTTTTCGATCGAACGTACGTAGTAAAAAGTCACGGAGCAAAAAGACTAACCATTAATTCGCGAGTCACGTTGCTGATTCGTTCTTTGGTGCAACTACGTGTGCCAATCTGCGGCTCGCATCTGTAATCATCTTTTACCAATCTGTGGTCCTCATCTGCATCGAGCTACGGACGCTTCTGTCTCTTGCATTGAGTTGTCTTGGTAAATGACTGCATCAAAAATTATCGTTTTAATCGTTCATCTTCTAGAAATAGCACGTTGCTCTCTCGTAAAGATTACTTAATTTGTACTTTGACATGATGGAATGGGACAACGATAATGAAATCAAAAGTTCGATCTGATCTGTTTGGATGGACAATGATTTGCTTACAGACCGATTTTATCAAAAATTATCGTTTTAATCGTTCATCTTTTAGTAACAGCAAGTGTCTCTCTCTCTCACATAAAGATTACTTGATTCGTACTTTAACATGATAGAATAGGACGACGATGATATTTGAAAAGATATGAAATCAAAAGATCTTGCTGTTTGGACAATGTTGATTTGTTCACCGACTGATTTCATCAAAAATTATCCTTTCAATCGGTCATTTTCTAGAAATAGCGTGTTTCTCGGTAGAAGAGATCATTTAATTCATACTTTAACATGATACAATATAACAACTATGATCCTGAAGAAAATTTAATAAAATCAGAGGTTCAGTGTTGCTGACCTGTTTAGATAGACAGTGTGATTTGATTATACTAATAAAAGCATGAAAGTAATAATAGTATTAAGTCGTTACGTGTTACATTGAACGTATACATATTGTTATAAGTTATATACCTATTCATATACATATATACATATGTACAGATAGGTTAGGTATTATTGTAGGCACATATGTAGCTACAATATATTTCAAAATTTTATGATAATGCAGAAATGTATGGATGTTCTACAAGTTGTAGTCTAACTGTATTTCTATGACATACATATATGTTTCTACGCGTTGTATTCTAACACGTGATACTCCATTTTGTATTCTTCCGCATCGTACTACCACGCACTGTATGTCGATTAATTGTGTTCCACGCGTTGTGTGGCCACACATTGTACTTTTACGAGTTGTATTTCTACGCGTTGTGTTTCAACATTTTTTATTCCTGCACGTCACAGCAATACTACGTAAATCAGGATTGTTATCAAAACTAGAAATCATTCAAAATATAATTGACTTTTAGGGGTAAGCTACTATAAGAAGGCAGAATACTATAAAAAATTGAAATAAATATAATTTGCTTGTGTACCTTCCGCATCCCCACTGTGAATCATTAATAATTAAAGAAATAAAGAAAGTAATATCTCAAACTATACTTATTACTCAGTTTATAAATCAGTTAAATGATATTTGAGAGAAATGTAAAATTCCGCAGATGAGAGAATAGATTCACTTATATAAAAATTAATAAAGTCACATGCATGTCATAAAAATTCCATATGGCGCAAAACAAGTTAATTTTTCTCCTGTTTATACACATCTATAGATTAAAATAAACTATTTTATACTTATGATGTACCTAAATTACATTTCATAACGTCTGCAGTATACAGCGCCAAAAGGTTAAAACTCTCAGCAAGCTAATCGGTATGCTATTCTATTTAAAATACGTCTCTCACAAATTACGTAAAATGTATTCGTGCAGCAAAAATAAATTTCATAACTCACATTAAAAAGATGATGATAAAATTGTACACAACCAATTGTTTTCAAGCGGAAGATAAGAATTATCAAGGCAGAAGTTGAATCTAATCTTGCGTTTCATAAAAAGAAACGATCCTAATATCCCATAAAAATATTTTCTTTTATAAATTAATCTTATATACGTATACCGTGGCGAATGTGTATGCCAGGGAGTTACGTGGGGAAGATAGTAATTTAGTTAAAGGGAATTAAAAGAAGTTATGGAACATGCGATGCAAGGAGCATATGCAAATCGATGCAGACGAGTTACGTCGACGGTATTAAAATCGAGCTGAAACAACCTGTTGCACTTTGTACGTGTATTGCGCAAAAGACTGCGCGACCTACGTTAACGATTAGATCGTTGATAATCACTGTTGGTGACACGTGTTTTAATTCTACGCTCGATAAGAAGTTATTTTCTCATTTATTCGCGGGTACGATGGCGAGCAAGCTTGACTTTTATAGAAAAAATGGCGGCGCAAAGGTTTCGAGTCATGAGGTTCACGATCTTTGAAACTCAGATTTTGTTTAAACTTTGCACAATTTTAGGGGACAGAAGTAATAATTTTACGAAACCTTTGCATGCAACCTTCTAGGCATAGTAAATTATAATTCATAATAAGTAAGACTCAATAATATTTATAAATGATAGAACTCAAAATGTAATTATAGTAAATGATTTTTGTAATTTATGTTTAACTGTTTGATCATAAACTGAAGAATATATTGTAGCCTAAAGGGAAGTTAAATTTTTTCGTTCTTGATTCTAAAATTTGAATACTAACATTGATTAAAAGAACAAATATTTCAAACATCAAAAATCTATATTTGGAAGATTGATGTCGAATCTTAGATTTTAAGAAATTTTCCTGTGAGCTATCAATTGAAAACAATTGAAAATTTTGATGTGAAAGTATATTTTTTGGAACCCGATGTGAAAATTTAAATTAAGAAGATTAAATTTAGAAATATTTGTTTGGTATAGTGATGAAGTTTGGATTTGAAAATATTTGTGAGCTTCCCTTTAAAAACTTAGGTTTGAATGTTCCATTCGAAAGCTGACATATGAAAATATTTAAAAATTTGTATTTGATAGCCTTCATATGAAATTGAGGACCGTAGAAAATGTGCTTGCAAGTGCTATAACGAGAAAGTCTCTGCGGCCATATAGCGAGACTATACATATAGAAACCTAAATAGAACTTTACCAAAAATTAGACTAATAAATATCAGAGTTTACAATCGAAACAAACATCGAATTACCAAAAATTTCTCAACAAATCATCAAATATTCCGAACTCATCTAATGTCTAATGATTATTCCGTTACAGGTATTTTCAACAATTTTATTACATTCTCTAAAGAACAGTTAATTATAATCCCGAAGAACTATAAAATTTCATCTGTAAACGTATTACGTTTACGAAGAAGTTTATGCGTTTCATAACTGAGAAGCTTCTATTTGTTTAACATGGAAGTGGTCGTAAATTAATTTCATTCTTTCTTGCCGGCTTAACGAACAGTTGTAAATAGTAGCGAGACTTTACGACATAACACTTTTCACCTTTTTAATATCCCGTGGGCGTTTGGGTGAATCTTTCATAGATCATATAAGTTTATAGCAAAGATATCTGATATTGTTGATAATATAATTGTACTCGTGAAATATTACGTACTAATCGTTTATGTAGCTTTTATAGTCTGTTATATTAACGAGTAACTGTGAATCTTAATTTCTTTGCAGTATCGATTAACAAGATTTTTTCTATTTTTTTAAATATTGCGATATTGATGTAAGATTTTTATTTGAGGGATTCTAAACGTGACTAAAGCATCATAGCAAGTAAATATAGCTTCTAACAATTTGCGAATTTAAGGTTTCAAAATTTGAGAACTTATAGACTTTAGAGTTGCAAGTTTGGCCAAATTAAACACCAGTTAACCATTTGGCCAAATAAAATTTGGCCTGCATCTTTTATTTCATCATGGAGTTAATTTTAATTTCCATCCAGTTTCATTTTATAAACTCTACTTTTCCTATTTGGCAAAAGCCTAGAGCACCTTGTACAATTTAACGTACCATTACTTTTATCAAATTTAATTCTGTGTTATTCTACTGTATATTTTTCATCAGAGTCACAAGTACTTTCAATACTTCAATAATATTAATGGGTAATAAATAATTACGACCCTTAAAGTTGAACCCGAACGACACTTTCAACAAAGTCCTAGAAAGGAAGAAAATGAATCTGAATCCTAATGAATCCTAAAATGAATCTGAAGCTTAACAAGTGCGACAGCCGTTAACATCCGAAATTGTTCTTCCTGGAAAAGATTTTATCTCGTCCCGTTAAGTCGTAAATGTTTCAAAAAAAAGTTCACACATTTCCATGCGTAGCTTATGTGATTCCGCTTCTATACCTCGAGTATTTTATTTCGTTTTGCAGGAGAAGCCATTCACCTTGCCAGAGACTTCGGCTATGTTTGCGAAACCGAATTCCCTGCGAAGCAAGTTGCCGAATACCTGAGTCGACAACATTGTGAACCGCAAGATTCCTACAGGAGAAAAGAACTTCTTCATGCCACCAAGTAAGAATTTATCGTCAAGCTGAAAACAATGGCGAAAGAAATCTATCGAGATAATCGGGAGCTTCGGTTGCATCGCGGACATACGTTACTATAAAGTTTCTTCAACACTTCCCTCTGAATTGAAAATAAATAAGCAAATATCGAGACGACGGAAATAATCATTACCGAGGTTATAATTAAAAATGTACCTCCATTAAATACCTTTTCTGACCTCCACATGTTGTATGTTATTATTTGTAAATTTATTATTTGGACCCTCATGAACTTTTATAATGATCATTTCATTCAATCAAATTTTATGTCAGTCAATTTTAATTCAGTCAAATTCATAATTTTCATTCAGTCAAATTTTAACACTAGAACTAACAGGCAGTCAAAATGGCTACGTTGAGGTTTCACATTTTATATTTCAAAGTTTGTGAAATATCGAGACATTAGATAAATTCTTCGTGTCAATAAAATGTAGAACTTTCAAACTTGATATGAGTATGATAGAATTGTCAGGAGCGAAATATTTCACAAACTTTGAAATATAAAATGTGAAACCTGAACGTAGCTATTTCGACTACCTGTTAGTTTTAGTGTTAAAATTTGACTGAATGAAAAGTATAATAAACTAACGAAATTTGGAGAAGATTATTGAAATGATCATTGAGAAGGTCCATAAGGGTCCAAATAATAAAGTTAAAAATTATAGCATGTAACATGTGGAGGATAGAAAAGATACTTAATGGAGGTACATATTTAATTATAACCTCAAAAATGATTTTATATTTTGAATTAATTCAAAATTATTTATTTGAAATTTTCTTGAAAAATTTAAGAATTATAACAGGTTACAATATGAGAATTTTCAGTATTTTAATATTAAAGAATTGAAGCTGATTTACCGTATTTCCACAATTTATCAAATAATTGACAGTAAAAGTGTTTGCCTTTTGCTTATTTTATGATGCTAATATGTTTCACTTCCTTGCATCAATATTGTATTAAAAATCGTCAAGCATTAATATTACAATTTACTACACAATTTTTTAATAAACTTGCTTTATCATCGATGATTTCTAAATCTGATTTTCGCGATGCAATCACCATGAACTTTGACCAAAAAGCAAAATGTGTAAATTGCTGTAATAAAAGGAATGTTCATCGTTCGAAATACGGAAGTTTGTCCAATTATACAATACACGAAATTATACATGTAGAATCGTAAAAATTGTCCTCTTATTGTCTAGTTAACTGTTTTAGCCACATTCAATGAAGAATCGAGTACAGCAAGATAAGGTGTTAACTGAACCAAGTGTTTACGGGTTAGCACCTTCCTGCTAGGTTATGGAGCAGAGATTCTCAACTTTCACATAAATTTTGCATCATTAAAAACGTAATTTAAAAATTTTATTACCAGGAAGAAAATTTTGTACACAGAAATGTGAGAAAGATACATTTAATTTTTGTTTTATTTTTAATCAGGAATAGTTGTTACAAAACAATTTTTAGTTATGGTGTTATCAACGAAATGATTTTTGTTATGAATAATTATGAATAATTAAATAAGTAACAGTTACCTGTATAATTATCTAGAAATTTTAATTGCGGGTAATTATCGATGGCGAAAGTTTAATTTTGGTTACCATTGACAGGTTGTTCATATCATCTATATTTGGAAAAAATAAATTAACAGTTCTGGTCGCCTATTTTGTGAAGAACTTATTTTAAAGAAGTACTTATTTAAAAATAATAATCTAAATAATAAATCATTGTTTTCGAAGAGCAACAATCAAAGTGACAACCAATATAAATTTTCCAGAATAATTTATTGTTTACTAAGAACTATAATAGAAGGTCAGGATTGTATTTTAGTCAGTGATCATCAAATACCGACATCATCGATATATCAGCAGTAATTTTGATTTTACCTAAGGTTTTCTTCTATGTCTGTTTTTTAATATTGGAAATAAAATTTTTGATAATAAAATTGTTATACAATTATACAAACTATGTACTATATACAGTATACGAATTGTATATTAAGGTTGAGAATCGCAGCTACACAAGATTGTATTATACATCGAATACAATTAAACAGAACTACATTAAATAAAATAGAACTACATTAAACAGAATGACATTAAATAAACAAATTATTCTTGGGAATTTCTGCCCTCCTTTTTACGTAACTATCCTATATATTTTCAAAATCCTTTTATATCAGTATTTCGAAAGTCGTACATTTCATTTGTCAGAATTGTTAAAATAAGTTTAGAAATAACTAATAATTTATTAAGAAGTTATAGAAGGAGAATTTAACGCCGTTGGTTGTGTTTTTCAGACAAATCACCAAAGAGCTGATGGATCTTCTGAATCAAGATAGATCTCCACTTTGTAACACACGGCCACAACATATCCTCGACCCAAGCATACAGAGACACCTAACACATTTCTCTCTCATATCACATGGATTCGGAAGTCCTGCAATCGTAGCCGCTCTCACGGCAATACAGGTATTTTTCTTTTGATCCTGAAAAAGTTACAAACATTTTTCTTTTTCATTTTTCACAAGTGCCACATGAAGAATCATCCAATTTATTGAGGAAGAAATTTAACTCTAAACGTACCAGCTTATAATGCATACATAATTTGAAGTTAAAAATGAAGCATAAATAATAACTTGTATTATCAAATAAATTTGCAGGTTCCCCTAGTAACTTTATATAACTAAAATTTCCCAAATTTTAGAAAAAATCATACATAAATTAACAAACGATTAAATACAATTGAGTATACACATCAATATACAATTGAATATTAACATTCTTATCTTCATGTTGATCAACACAGATTTTAAGAAAAATTATTGTTGTTATTATTATTTTTCCTTCTAACATTAATCGCATTTTCAACTTCAACAAAAAAGGTAGAAAACCAGTATTAAACATGTACGAACGTATCATTTAAAATTCATAATTGATTCAAAGGAAATCAAAAGAAAAAACACAGCAAATACACTTCATGTACTTCAATCGATCTTCCATGCCGTCGAGATATTCCTACCATTTTTCCTCGCACGTGCATGGAGAACCTATTACATTAGATTAATCCTGATTATGACACCTTATTAACCAGACAAATGATAAATGACAGCGTATCAGGCGAATAAATTATGCTGAGATAAGCTGACTATACTACATATTGAAACATATGAATATTTAACGTGTGTAAGTTTCATAATACACACATGCTAAACTAGTTAACATCCCCCGATTGAACATCATTGTCGTCTGATTGTATGTGCGTTACGTGACATAATTTGATGGGATGTTAAAAAATATTTTGTAGGATTATTTTATACGTACGAGGATTCGTACGCTTAGAATTGCCACGCGTTGGATTACTACGCGTTGGATATCCCCACGCTGGATTAGTACGCGTTGGTTAACTACGCGTTAGGTTACCACGCGTTAGATTCCTACGCTTAGAATTACCACGCGTTGCATTACTACGCGTTGAATATCCACGTGATGGATTACTACACGTCAGATATCCACACGCTGGATTACTACGCGTTGGTTAACTACGCGTTAGATTACCACGCGTTAGATTCCTACGCTTAGAATTACCACGCGTTGCATTACTACGCGTTGAATATCCACGTGATGGATTACTACACGTCAGATATCCACACGCTGGATTACTACGCGTTGGTTAACTACGCGTTAGATTACCACGCGTTAGATTCCTACGCTTAGAATTACCACGCGTTGCATTACTACGCGTTGAATATCCACGTGATGGATTACTACACGTCAGATATCCACACGCTGGATTACTACGCGTTGGTTAACTACGCGTTAGATTACCACGCGTTAGATTCCTACGCTTAGAATTACCACGCGTTGCATTACTACGCGTTGAATATCCACG